AAAAAAAAAAAAAAAAAAAAAAAAAAAAAAAAAAAAAAAAAACATGGTTTACAGTTCCCTTTTCCTTCCAGCTCTTTCCTGGAGGGTAACCCCAGTTTGGTCCACAAGGCTTGCTGTCCAGTGCTTGCCAACAGCGTGTACTTGTTTCTCACATCCTACACAGATCCTAATGGCTGGACCTGAGGAAGCTTGTGTGTAAGAACTGGAGAAGGCATCCTGGAGTTCAGACTCCTCAAGCATGTCATTCACCCAACCCTTCATTCTACTGCCCATGAGCACCGAGCAAAAGATAGTCTCCCTCTCCTATTCCCAGGTGGGGTGGAACTGGTAGATTAGAAAGCCGCCTTTGAGAGCCATCTTGTTGGCATATACAGTTACTGCCAATGAAGCAGTATAGTCAGCTGGCCACATACATCAGAAGGCAGGAGTCTTAGAGTCCAGCTGTTGGCCTATATGACCTAGAAAACAAGCTGGGCTAGATTTTTTAGAATCACAAACTTTCAGAACTGGAAGTGACCTGGGACAGGGGCAAAATGAACAGATGTTAACAGAGTCATTAAAATGATTTTAGTATTTTAGTCATTTTAATGATAAAATAAAACAGTAAATTTGGTTGAGCAAAATTTCTTACTTCAAAATTAGGCTTTTTAAAAGTTCATTTTAAAAATATGTTGGAAAAAATATCATAACAGCTACTTAGCTTATCTGTTCAGGAGAAAAATACTGTTTGTGAGTTGAAAGCAGGTCAGTTTCAGCTGGGCACAGTTTTATGCATCTATAATCCTAGCTACTCAGGAGGCTGAGGCAGGAGGATCCACTGAGGGTTCAAGTCCCACCTGGGCAACATAGCGAGACTCCATCTCAAAAAAAAAACCCCAAACCAAACAAACTGAAGAGAACAGGCTACTCTGATTGTTACACTGATTTTTCTTTAATTGATCATTTAGAGTAGAACAGTCTAACAACCTGATAACAAATTTATTCAAAAATGCTGAATATATTGGGTGTAAAAAGAAACGGACTATAATTTTTAATATAGTGAAAGGCTGCATTAATAATAAACTCACTTATGAAGTGTGTGATCTTGGGCAAATTACTGGATCTCTCTCAGCCTGTTTGGTCACCTGTGAGTGGGAAAAAACTAGACTTTACAAGGTTTTTAATAAATACATTCCATCTGAAATCTATTTATGACACCTATTTTGCCTCATAAAACATTTTTTGAATTATCACAAATCTCCCACTAAAATATTTACTCTGCTTCCTACACTTAACTTTCCTACATGGTCCAGCTGATTCCGCCCCTTTCATTGTGTCTTTTCCACCTGCTAGGCACAGCCTGTCTCCAGCTGCTGTCATTCCAGGTTCCCACAATTCCCAGGGCCTGGAGGGTAGAGGTTGATTCATATAAACAGAGGTAGTCAGGACTCCAGGGAGACAACGTCCTCTACCAGGTGTCTGTGTAATAAGATTACTGACATCAGGGTTGGAGTATGGCCATAGGAGGAAGTTTTATCCTCTTAGGATTGGTGGAAAGATGTAGACTTTGCAATCAAGCAAACTTAGCTTTGAATCCTAAGTCTGCTATTTTCTGTGTGTAATCTTTATTAGTTCCTCGCCTAAAATCGATGATACTCAGTTTGCAGGATTATTGGGTTAGAATGAAATAAACATTGGACCTGTAGCTAAAATATTGAGTATATGATAGGTTCTCCATAAGGGTAGCTAGTATAGACCTTTTAGCTCTGATCAATATGTAAGGCAGAAGTTCCTGCCCATGTCTCTAGGCAAGATAGAGATGTTCAAAGTAGCATTGAACTTTCTCAAAAATCCAAAGGCATTTTTGGTCATTGGTAAATTAAGTCACCATGTTGTTTCCAGGACTAAATATGCTATAGACAGGTAATAACCAACCTCATAAAAAAAAAAAACTTAAACTTTTTAAATACTAAGAATTTAAACAAAAGTGTATTTGGTAAACACTTTTATTTTTATTTTTTCAATTAGAATAGCCTAACCTGATAACAATGTACCCACAAATGTTGACTGTCTCTATTAGGTGTAAAAAGAACCCAGCTGTAATGTTTAATGTGGTGAATGACATAAAGGAACATGCAAACCGATCCAAATGTTTATAAACCAAGTATTCCTCTGGGACTCAGTGCCCTGACTTTATGTTTTTTTTTAAGACATAGAGAGTCAAGCTTTGTTCATACTTGAATTATGTACATTGCATTAGCCATGCAATTTAACTTTAACCCGCAGGACTGCAAAGAAAATTAGCTCAGCCTGCAGAACAACGAGACCGTGAGCAAGTAAGCACGTTAATCAAAGTGAAAGGCTCACCCCTCACTTCTAGCTCTGTCCTTCTCCAGCCTGTGCCTGCCAGATTATTTTGGGTTCCTCGTGTTTGACTCGTCAAAGTGGCAGAAACAGGCTAAAATGTTCACTGTGGAAAAGGGATTTGCCTTTTAAATTAATGTTTGTGCACATGCCCCGAGGAGACTGATGAGAAGCACACAATTTTTAAAAATCATAAGTGAATGCATACCCTTGCCACTAGTAATCCTGACAAAGTTTAAGTAATTCAGGCATGAGCACGGTTTTCTGAAAGTATAAAACAGGATTTACTAGTTGAGAATGTCTGCCTAAACAACCTCGTTGCTCTGAATATTTTAACTATAGTTCACATTTGTTTAACCCTAGCAGGTCTGGTAAACGTACCATGTTTACTGATAGTGTCTTGGAACATCACAAAATAAAGCAATACGTGGCTTTTACGCTCGTTTTGACAGAGAGTGGACAGAGAACCCTACAGGGGGTTGGAAACTGTTTGCCCTGGCATCTGGCTTACAAGTACCTGTAGGGGAGCTGACCACATTCACCACTCTTTCTGTAAAGGGAATATAATGCTATTTACTCATCTCCTGAGAGCCTAATGTGGATTACTGTCGTTGTCACTGTCATTTATTATTCCCGACAGAGGAGTCAGATGACTTAGTTCTACGTGGTCAGGGTTGATTCCATAATGTGTATATTTAGCCTACATGATAATAATTTGCAAGTATTTTTAAATGAATATCTAGCTTTCAAATGTCATTAATGGAAAATATCTCAATAGAGATACTCCATGCCTAGGTGTTCACCTCAACCTCCTCCCACCCCACTCTAATGATTCTGCTTTACAGATGACCATATATTAAATTGGTGCCTTATAACTGAGCGTGATCATCTCTCTAATTCTCAACCCCCACGGTAAAGGAGGAATTGGCCTAAGGACACTCCATTCTAATTTTCTGACGCCGTCAATGCTAACCAGAGCTCATAGAGCAATGATGTGGGGGTGGGGAAGATGGTTCCACCATTGGTGTGAGACCAGGAGCTACTGTTTTCGTTAGAGCCACATTTATTTCTGGAGTAGTTGTGGGAGAGAGATGTGCTCCAACAAGAAGAGGACTCTCGTTATGGTTCAGGTATGACCCACCATCTGGACAACTCAACTCAGAGACTTTAAAGTGTATGGGCTGTAGGAGGGCAGTTTACATTCCACACATTAAGCTAAAAATCACTTGTGCTCTGGGGCAGGTGATAAAATGAGAGGTAGAAACAAAAGATCCGGTTGTGAAACCTAGTACCTCAGCTAAGGCGTTTGAACATATTTTCTCTTTTAAAAAGATTCTGGGGAACTTCAATGTGTTGCTAACCTGATTGTTTTCAGCTAGTCCTTACAGAAAATTGAGGCGCTGGAAAACTAGCAACCCCAAAAAATATGAATTCATTTTTGCACGTGTTAAAATTAACAACAGCATATTCAGTGATGCAATAGGCAATTAAAGACGTTTGGAGAGACAAGAAGAAGAAAACTATAAATATTATATATTCAAAATCAGTCTCACCATTTTATAAAAATGTTGGCTTATGTCCAGGATCTAAGGGTGGGGGTGGGTATGGTTTCTTTGTAGCTAAAGAAATAGAGTGGAAAAGAAGCTGTTCTATTCCTTAAAAATAAAAGACTTCTTGTTTTATACTGCATGGCAAATAAAATGCTTTTTTGTTTTTTTACCTGCCGGCAGGATCTGGAGGAAATTTTGCTAGCAAGCTATGCTGTTTTCCTCTTTGGGGACATGGTGACACTGGTTTTGTAGCAAAACAGTATTTGCTTATTAGGCATTTCTTAAAAATCCTGAATAAGCAGCTCTTTCAACAGTTTTGTTCCACATGTTAAACATTTCATTGCAATTTGAGCTTTGAGAGAGAGAGAGAGAGACAGAGAGAGAGAGAGTGTGTGTGTGTGTGTGTGTGTGTGTGTGTGTGTGTGTGTGTTGATAGGAAGGAATGAAAGGGGGTGCATAAGAATTCCTGAAGGTTTTTTATTTAAAAAATTAATTCCTCACCATGATGTATTGGAGTATCTGCAGAAGATGATTCCAATTTATTACATACGGCCAAACTAGATCCCATCAATCTTAAGCCGTGGGGGTAGGGAGGTGGTATTGAAGACGACATGAAATTTGGTGTTTGAGTAGATGTGATTTAATTTTTGGAAAACATTTCACTCATAAAACGGATAGCAACCCAGTGTCAGCACTGACCTCCTGATGTCAATGTCATCATGCAAGCGTAGCTAAAATAAGCCTCAAAGTAAAACAAAGAAACATTGCAACTCAGCACAATACGATTTCTTCTCTTACAGTATGTACTATCTATAGCCTTTTGGTATTCTTATTAATGGCTCGTTACTTTAAAATTTAGCTTTTGGAGGGGGAGGGATAAGAAAAATCATTGTGCTTTTTCTATGTTCTAAACGCATACAGTATGCTGCTGTAAGTCTTAGTATTATTTAGGTCAGTATCCTAAGGATAGCTTTTATCGTTCATGATGGTCAGCTATGCAGCCATAGGAACTCAGCATCAATTTATTTTTCTGTTCTGATTTTATTCTGCTTCCAAGTTTAAAAAAATTCATTCACATTTTAATAAAATTCTGAGGCGGTATCTGCCGCTCCGTACTGCAGATACATTTAGCAGGATACATTTACACGGCTTGTGGTTAAAGGTTATAGCACAGATACAGACAGCTGATCATGCAATTCTCCTACAAGCCTGCCGGCACCATTCAGGATTTTGAAAAATAATCTAGAAATGCTATACCCTTTATCAGCATTATTCTTTACTTTGCAAGAGCTTAACAGTTTTGGTGTTTTCTTAGCAATTCTATAAAATTAACAATCTATAAAATGCATCCCAGACCAGATACATACTGTATTGAAAGCTTTCTTCAAGAAGAGAATATGAGAGCGTTCTTTCCAGCTTATTTTCTTCCTTAGCAAAAGGACTGTTTGATTCTCAGAAGCAGAAGGACACATTCATTGTGGAGCAGCTCTGCTTAAGTGTATGAAATGCCTTCTGTCTGGTTGCAGAATTTGGAGTTTGCTAAACAGTGTTTAGTGATTGGGCTCATCTTGCATCACCAGTTGATGACATTTTTCTTTGTTCCCTCCTACCCAGTTGAACCAAGACTCTGAGGCTGATATGCAATGTCACTTACAACATTAATCAGATACTGCATTTAAGGTGAGCTGTCCCTTGCCTCCTCCTTCCCCAGTGCTCGTGTGCTGCATGCAGTGCGTATCTTGCTTCTGCGAGCCTAAGATGGCAGGCAGGATTAGCCGTGCTTGTGCTGTGTATGCATGCTGTGTCTAGAATTCATTACACGTTGCCTAGTATTTCAGATGTGAGTATGTAAATGCTCTGTATGCCATATCATCTGGTAGCGAAGACTTGTTTTTGCTTCATTACAGCCTTAGATATTTCAACATCACCTTTCATTTCCAATTCATTTGCTTCCGGATGTTTGCTTTTCATCACATCTAAAATATGATTTTACCTTTTTTTTTTTTAACAAAACCAAAATCCCCCCACAAAACCCTAAAAACAAAAACAACAACAACAAAACTCTGCTACCAGATGGTGTCTCTCCTTTCTTCATGCATTTGCTGTCTTTTAAATAATGTATGTTATATTGTTAATTAATGTGAATATCAAATTAAACACTTGAAACTTACATGTTTATTATGCAGGTAGGAGGCAAGGTGGATTCTATTTTTAACTCTTATGCACTCCATCGTGTGCAAGCAACTTGGGTTCTCAAATTTGTATTTTCAATGCTGGTATCAGTGGTTTGATTTTCAGCAAATGTGACAGTGGCCTTTGCAGTGGTCAGCTCCGAGCTTTGAACTCTCAGAGGAGGAAGGGGAAAAAAATTCAACACACCACCTCCTTGGTTGCAGTCTCAGAGAAACCTTGGATGAGAAACTTCTTTTTTCAATCCTGTTTTCCTGTTGATAAATTCAGTTCTGTGATCACAGTTCATTCAAGCTGTTCTGCGTATGATTTTTGTGTGTATGTGGCAATTGCATCTAAAACTTGTGAGCAAGAAGACAGAGAAATCAGTTGGTCTCCATCGCTTTACATAAAAATGGCTGAGTGTCTTGTCATGCTAGCACTGCATTAAGTGATACATACAGGTAGGTTGAAATTTGCATGTTTTTATAGGGTTTTTTTTTGAGCCATGCAGCAAGAACATTAGATGCATTGAAATGTGACTTTTAAAAAAACAAAAATTAAATAAGACAGTTGTAATCTTTTGGGAGAGGGTTTTTAATTGGATAGCCTCTGCTATTCAGATAGTATAAGAATGTATAGATTTTATGAACTTATTAAATGATTCTGCCATAAAAGGGAGATTTTTTTTTTAAATCATATATATGATAGGTGTGGTACCATTAGACAACAAAAGAATTTTTTGAAAAGAGTGATGATTCAGCTCCATTTTAGCTTGAAACTAAAAATAAATGGGTTTCTGGAGATGATTTCAAAGAGCGTAAACAAGCTTAATAAGAAACATTTAAAATATTTAAATTTTAAGAAGCGGTCTTTAAACGTGTTATATGAGAAGATGAAAATAAAAACATGATATGCTTCCAAAATTAATTTTAGGTAATATACAAGGATATACTATATTATGTATGTAATTTGGGAGGATGAGGAGTTACAGTTTTTAACGAGGGAAATATTAAATATAGATGGCCCTCTTAAAAGAAATAGAGCTTCACTAAATGAAACCGAGCCCCTCGAATGGTTCATTGCAGACCATATAGCTGTGGTTCGGGCACTTTTCAAAATGATTTCATGAGCTCTTTCCTTTGGGCTTAACTTCTCAAATATATTTTAGTTTCAAATCTAACACTGGGCCAGAACCTGTTTCCTTGGTAACCAAATCGTATTTCAACATGCAATAACAGATATGCAAAAGAATGTCTTTAAAAAGGAAACAAATGTTTAATGAAAAATTTACAGTTATTTTTCCTCTCATATAGAATCTGAATTGGTTTTAGATATTTTTAAATGCGGTCTTCAAGCCTTAAAAATTAAGCTATGTTTCTAAACATATAGAGAAAGCTTGCACAGTGTCAGCTTTTCTCCCCCTCCTTTGTGTTCAGTACTTTCAAAATTAAGGTGTTCTTTGCAATATGCTCCAGAATGCAGGTCAAGGTTTGTGTACAGAGGTGTAGTTTCATTATCACAAGTTCACCAGCGCCACTGAAACAAAAGATATTTCAGAAATTCTGAGAATCAGAAAATGCTTGTGCTCTTGCTTTCCCTGATTCCTCCGTTGGTAACCTCAGAGCTCTCAGTAGAAAAGGACCCAAACCCAAGCCTACCCCTCCAATGACAAGTGCACCCGGAACCTTTGTGGAAATATCTCTATAGGGGTGGTAGGAAGATGGTGCTAAACCCGAAACCTCCACGAGGTTTGCTTGGATGTGAAGAACACTGAGATTCAGAACCATCTGTGTAAATGGCTGCTTTATTCTAACAGTTTATCTAATATTCTATTCCATAGCACTATCGTAGAATTGAAACTCTAATGGGCTGAAGGGTGGTAGTGGTTGTTGTTGTGTTATTTTGTGGCCAACTAAAATATTTTGCTTGGAGTCTTTCTCTGGTTCAATTATTTTAGAACGTGACTCATCTCATACTGATTTTGTTCTCCAGGCTTGCCATGAAATACCCTTCCTGCAACACCTTTTTTTTTTTTTTTGACTGTTGGGAGCCATTTTCCTTCTTGCCTGTGACTTTAAATGACTAAGTACATTTTGAGTACAGTATCAATCAGAAGATTGTCAACCGAAGGGAAATATCAGAAACCTGACTCAGTATTGCCTGTTTTTTTAGTAACAACAGCATTTAACAGTTGCAATAGGATCAAGCTAATTGTCATTCGCTCTTGAGCAAATAATGAGCCAGGCATTTATAATTAAAACACTACTGCTATTCAGAAAGATTACAACTACATGTCTTCTATTTTGATAGGCCAGTACAAAGTAATCATTTTGCACCTATTTGAATCTTAATTACAAGATTAGATGGATGCAATGCAATTGTTTTACCATTAAAATGAATGCCTGATAGATTCAACAGTGTATTTCTTCTTTATAGAATGTCAATTCTTTTGTTTGTAACTCAAGCTTGGTTGCATCATCTTATAAATTTTCATACTTAATGGGGTGTTTTTTTGTGGCATTATTCACTTATGTTGCTCTTGGTCTTGCCTAAAAGAATTTTAAACCCAATTCAAGGAGCTAGAAAGCCAAATAAGATTATTGGGTAGTGTATTGTACCATCATTATTCTAATAAATAGACCAGTAGAATAATTACTATACATTACTTTGTTGTGTTTCACCTTAATACTTTACCTTCATATGTCATAGCAATGTTGACAAGGCACAAAGGTTTTCTAAACTTACCCAGTTACAATTATTACTGAATTTCCAAGATTAGCTGAAAATGCTTCTTGACGATTGTAGAGGGTGGCACTTACCCCATCTCATTGTTTGAAAAGCTATCCTGAATCCATTTACACTTTTTGGCTATGTTGTTTATACTGGGCAGGCCAGAGCGGGTGTGACAGGAAGACTGTACAAACAATTGCCCTGTTCTCACCAAAACAAAAATGGGCAAATATGTGGTTTTCTGCTGGAATGATTTATAGTATAAAATACTATAAATCAACCCTTTTTTTTCCTTTGGAGAGTAGATGTTTTTCCAAACTTTAATGCTGTGGGATACCAAGATTGCATCTCTCGCTATAATACTAGAGTAGTATTGATCTACCTCATCCATTTCCATGGATCCCCTGGAGATGGACTGGTAATCAGACCATGACTTACAGCCTCTTCACTGTTATGTGAGAAGAATCTAGAAAGAGATCCAGCACCTTTTCTTTAGTACTAAGTCATGCTAAGTCTTTGACTTCCTGGTACCATGGGGTTCATTCTAACAGCTCCTTTCCAGGGGAAATGCTGTTCTTAACAGCTCTCTTGGTAAATAAACAGTCAACACATTTATTGAGCATCTACTACATTCCAGGCATATTCCAGAGGCTGAGAGGGGACTGGCAGGGAAGGGAATAAGCAAAAATATAGATCTAAATAAGTAAAGAAGACAAGTGCACAGAGAAAATTTAAAAATTTAAAAATGAAAGTGGGCCAGCCACGGTGGCTCATGCGTGTAAGCCCAACACTTTGGGAGGCCAAGACAGGAGGATTGCTTGAGGCCAGGAGTTTGAGACCAGCCTGGGCAACATAGCAAGACCCTGCCTCCACAAAAAATTTTGAAAATTTACTGGACATGATGGCTGGTGTGTACTCATAGTCCTAGCTATTTGGGAGGCTGAGGTAGGAAGATTACTTGCGCCCAGGAGTTTTAGGTTGCAGTGGACTAGAATCACACTACTGCACTCCAGCCTGGGCAACAAAGCAAGACCCTTTCTCTAAAAAACATTTTTAAATTAAAAAAAATAAAAAGTGAGGGTTATGTGGTTCCAGGGAGGAGAGCCACTTTAGAATGGTTGATCAGAACTTTCTGAGGATGTGGCATTTAAGTGGAGATCTGTGTGCTGAGAAGGTCTAGTCAGGTGAAGATCTGACATGGGGCATTACCAGACAGAGGAGTGTTCATGCCCAGCCTTCAAACTTTCCTTTTTGTGTAAATGTTGCTGTTTCAGAGCCAGATCTGACAGCTTCAAGGGCTGAGGCTTCCTTAGGTAAGCTTCCCACAGTAAGAGACTGGCCCAGGTTCCTGTGACTGGTTTTAGCCAGTCGAACCTCCAGAGTCTGGTACTAGTGGGGTCATTGCCTTTGACCCAGTCACAACCCTGAAACTGCCTCAGAAGTGCATAGCAGTCCTAGGTGGTGATGAAATTCTGGCACAGATTCAGTGTCAACCCAAGAAATCCGCAGAAGAAAGACCTCTCAGAGCAGAGAAATTTCTGGGAAGCCTCTTG